GGATGTCGAGCGGCTCCGCGGGCGCGCCCGACTCTGCGTCCGTCGGCGCGGGGAAGTCGAAGAAGGGGAAGGGCGTGCGCGGGAAGATGAACGTGCCGAGGTGGCGTTGCGCGAGCACGGGCGGCGTGGATGGGGAGGACGAGCGCGGGAACATGTATGCTGGGTTGATCAGGGAGGGTGGTGGTGGCCCGTGGCCTGGGGGCGGGGACGGTCTGCGACCGGGGTAGCCGACGTGTGCGCCGGGGGGTGGGGGGTACATGTCCGGTGGAGGGCGCATGTGCGAGCCGGGGCCCATGGGGTGAGGCATGGGCATGCCCTGTGCGAGATGTGGAGGAGGCATACCAATTTGATTGAGTGGCACGCCCTTGGACGGGCCCTGCCTGAAGTCGCGCTCGCGCTCGTGCTGGTACTGAGGCGGGAGGTCCTGCGGGATAGGTCCTGGGCCCATCGGCCCCTGCTTGCCCGGCTGGCCCTTCAAGTGCTGGGGAGGCACAGGCGGATGCTGGTGGTGGTGTGGATGGACATGGTGGATATGCTGCTGGGGCGGCGCACCGTGGACCTGTCCCTGCGCCTGCAACTGCTGCATCTGCATCTGCTCCTCGCGGGCCCGCACCGCGCGGATGGTCTCCATATCCGCGAGGTCGCGCTGCCGCTGCAGCCGCTCGCGCTCCATGAGCTCGTACTGCGCCTCCTTCTGCAGCGCAAGGTCGCGTTCGCGCATGCGGTGCTCCCGCTCCCGTTCCCGCTCCTGCTGCTGCATCTCGAGCTCGAGCTTCTCCCGCTCGCGCTCCTTGTCCCGCGCACTCGACCGCCGGCGCTCCTCCCGCTGCGCGTCCTTTGTCCGTTCCCGGTCTTCGCGCTCGCGGTCCTTCGTGCTCGTGCGCGACTTGCTGCTGCGTCCTGGCTGCCTCTCGACCTTGCCCGTCTCCCACTCGATCTCCCGCCGGACATCCTCCATGCCCAGCCTCTGCATCTCCCGCTCTTGCATCCTCCTCTCGTCCTCCGGACTCGGCCCCGACGGCGTGACGAACCTCGGCCACACCTGTCCCTGCCCATGTGCTGGAGGCGGGCCCATCGTCTGCATTGGGGGCGGTGGCGGCGGGGCGTGCTGGTGTTGGTGCTGGTGCTGCCGCGACACGCCCCGGGCCTCCATCTGCTGGGCCTTCTGCAACCACTCCCTGTCCCGCTCCTCCCGGTCGAGCCTCTCCCTCTCCGCCACGGACATCGGCATCCCAGCACCAAGCCCGAGCCCGACGCTCATGCCCATCATCCCGTGCGCGTGTATCCGGAAGTCCTGGTCCCGCTGCTGCTGCTCCCTCTCCCGCTGCTCTCTCTCCCGCATCCTCTCCCGTTCTCGCTGCTCCCGTTCTCGCTCCCGCTCCTGCTGCTCTCTCTGTGCTTGTGCCTGCGCCTGCGCCTGTGCCTGCATCTGCATCTGCGCCTCCTGCTCCCGCATCATCTGCATCTCCCGCTCGCCCCGCTCCTTCGCTCGCCGCTCCCGCCGCATCTCCTGCTCCCTCATCTCCTGCTCCCGCATCTCCCGCTCACGTTGCTGCTGCTGTGCGTACCGCTCGCGTTCCTTCATCGCCTGCCTCTCCCGCTGCTCGCGTTCCCGCCGTATCGAACCCGGCGAGTCGTGCACGCTAGCATTGCTGCTCCTTCTGTCCCGCTCTCGGTCCATCGGCACGGTCCTCTCCATGCCGCGTTCCCGTTCACGTTCACGTTCGCGCTCGCGCTTCTCGCTGAGGGCAGTGGGGTGCAAACCAGGTCCAGGGAGGAGATGCGTCACAGTGTCCTGGGGGCGACCACTGGCAGCCATTGATGGGAGCGAGGACCCCGAGGGTATCCCCGGCCCCAGAGTGCCCGAGAGCGGTCCACGGGGTCTGCTCATGCCCGGCCCGGGCTCCCGCTCCCGCCCGTCGCGCTCGTCATACGGCGACGGGCGCTGGAGGCTCGCCATCACCGGCGACGCGGTGTTGGACTTGATGTCGAAAGCGCTGACCGGTCCCGACGGAGCGCTGCTTGTGCTGCTGCCGCGACCCCGCGCGCGGTCGAGGGAGGAGCTAGAGCGGGAGTGCGTATGGTGTGTGTGGGGATGAGGGGGAGATGGACCCTGCGGCGGGGCGTTGTACATGGGGGACGGCACATCAATGCGCATGCTCATCGCCGAAGAGGAATGGGGAGGCCCCGACGGTGGCGGTAGGTGTGGCTGGCCGCCTGGGGGAACACCAGGGCCGACAGGCGTGGGGAATAGGGGGATGCTGCCTTGTCCTGGGCCGTGGATGTGCTGTGCGTGAGGCGGAGACGCATGGAGCGAGCGTTGCGGCGGCGGAGGCATGTGCATCGACGAAGGGGTTCCCGGAAGGGTGTGTGCATGGTAGTGGTGGTGGTGATGTGAGCTAGGGTGCGGGGAGGTGTGAGACTTGCTGCTTGATGATCGATGCTCGACAACGTATGGTTGTGGTTGTACCGGCGCACTGGGGCCTACAAAGTTGTTAGCCCTTGCCATGGACGACATTGACCAAGGTAAAGAAGACAAAAAACGGCAAAAACATGTTATGTGGACGCGCCGGTGAATATCGGCAAATAGAGTTCCGGAGTAGTTCCTAGTCATGCGAACATGACAACTTCGACATCGACCGACTGCGAAGTCTAGAAGCTGTCACCCGCATGATTGAATCACCCGACCAGTGCGGATTGCCCGAGCCTGCGTCTGTGCCACGCCTGCGTTGCAAACAAGGTTCACCGCTCAAGGGAGAGAGACGCAGCTCCGTGCACGAAGACTGCCATTGCTGGGTCATCACGTAACTCGCGCATGCAGCCGACGTCGTCGCCTCCTAACAAAGCCCATCGAGCTGGAGGAGCAACATGACAACAAACTTCTCCCGCGGAGACTCGCCTCTCTCAATGTGCATTCAATCAAGCGAAGAAGGCCCCGATATGCCGCGAAACAAGCTCGAATGTGGACAAAGTGGAAGAACAATGATGCTCACCCGGCGGGGGACCCAAACGCTCATGCGGGTGCGGCGGCATCACCTCATTATTCGCCCTTCTGCTCCTGTGCGCGCTCTCGTACGGTTCCTGGAGCAGCGTCGACGGCGGTGGGAGATGGTGCACGCCCTGGAAATCTGGGGGCGGAGGCGCGCCAAACGGCGGGCCATGACGCGGGGGGCTCGGCGGCCTGCCAGCAAGGAAGGGCGGTGGCGATCGACGCAGGGGGTGCGACTGCTGGACGAGAGACGGGTGGGGGCCATCCTGCGGGGGGCGGTCGCGTTCGCGTGGGTGGTCGCGAGGCCGGTCGAGGGGCGGGGAGTGATGAGGTGGATGGTGGGGCGGCTGCGGGGGCTGTTGCTGCTGCTGCTGAGGCTGCTGCTGGTGTGGCGGGGGCTCGAGGGGCGGGTCGTTGCGGGGATGTCGTCTGCTGCGGTCGTCGGAGGGGGCGTCGTGGAGGAGGTCGGCGACGTTCATGGTGGGGGGAGTGGGGAAAGGGAAGAGGGCGAACGCAAGGTGAGAAATTGGCAGGCATCCATTGAAAACGCGGTCGCTGATCACAGGGGTAATCGAGATCGTTATCTCGCAAGGCTTATTACCTCACAAGCGTCTTCCCTGGCCACATCCATCCTCGACGCGGGTCGTTGGCTGCATTCATTGCTTCTCATGAAAGAGATACAAATCCACGCTTGTTACCCATCCCGCTCAAACAACTACGGATCGACTACAGACAGAACGCCACGACGGCCACGCGTGCATAGCGACGCTCGCGAGTGGAGGGAACCGGGAGGGCGGAGGATGATCGAAGTCTGTCCGTCGCGTGGCAATGCCATTGACGCGCCAGATCTCAGATCCCTTTCTCCGGATATAGCCGCCGCATCTGTGTCCACCGTTCGAATTCTCTGCTGCAGGCTGCGAGGTGGAGGTCCTAGGTTGCATCAATTTCCCGTTCTCACTCAGGACGCCGTATATAAGAACACGTTGGTGGACCCGCAGCTGCTTCTCCGAGTACGCCCAGCACTATCTACGCGCCATGTCCACATCGTTCACAGAAGCGAACGGTGCGCGGAGGCGAGCATCCCCGATGGAGCCTCCCGCGGGCCTTCAGCGGGGGAAGAGAACAAGTGCATCTTTCTGGCAGGTTTCGGGGGAGAAGAAGCGTGGGTTGCGTACGTTGCAGCGTGGATACCGACCCCCAATTGAGCGGCCCGGGCCTCCTCGACGGGTCTGAGAACTTGAAGCCCGAGGATCGACTTTGACCGGTCGACCATGGAGGCAACTCCTCCGGTCCGATCAACGCGACGGCGAGACACAACGAGTAGATCTAGGGTGCACGCACACGAGATCCTCCGTTGTGAGGACCAGAGCGCGCAGGCAACGAGGTGCAGACAAGAGAGCATCGAGAGTCGAGACCCATGTCCACGATGGACGGAGACAAGACGCGCAAGCGCCCACAAAGGTCCGACACTGCGTACGCGCGAGGCCAAGGCGGAAGCTGCGTGGACACTTCTCTTTCCTTAGAATCAAGAGTGTCACGGCCCACTTTACAGAACCGCTAAAAACTGCGAGTAGGACCGCCTTCTCGGTCGATCCACCATCACAAAGTCAATGTTCGAAACCATCTCCGCCAGGGTGACCGAGCCGAGCTCAACAATGTCCATCGAGCATCTCGAGGAAGAAGTCCAATGCGTAGCGTGCCCTGCGCGCGGTAGCACATTAGTCGGCCGATGTGGGCTGCGCGTGCAGAAGCGTCCAGTGCAGGACCGGGCAGAGATGTACTTTTGACGACTCGGAGTGTCCGCTTGGCCCTACGGGAGGAGAACAGTTGAGTCCCCAGTCGAAGGAACCATGGCCCTGTAGGACCAGGATCTGCACTCTTTGGTATCGCTAGGACTTCGCATGTCCGAGTCCGGGAGATGGTGATCAAACAAGCTGTATCGCAAGCAAAGCTCTGATTCTCCGTAAGAATCCACTGCGATTGTATATAACCTTAAAAACAATCTTTATAAGGCCGCCTGGCGTAATGGCAACGCGTCTGACTACGATCAGTGCCCTTAGGAGGTAATCAGGAGATTGCAGGTTCGACCCCTGCGGTGGTCAAGCTTTTTCGATAAGCTGGGTATTTGATCTGATTTTATCCTCCACGGATTCAGTCACTGCATACAGCGCGCTAGCCGCCCTTTCGAGCGACCAGAACGCTGGTTCGAGCGGTGGTTGTTGTCAATATCCACCAGATATTCTCTTGCACTTGTCGCGCGAGAATTTTATCCTTGACATCGTGAGTCTCCACTGCCAGCTCAAATTCTGACAAATACCCCACAGCTGTAATCAGTGTTCGAGAAACCTGCCGTGATCGTAACGATTTTCACGAGTGGTGGAACCTCTCCCCGGTCTCATAGTCGCATGACCAACGCGCAATCGCCGGGTGGGGCGTACTGGCTTTCACCGACTCAAGCGGAACGGCCGGCGTACTGTGACTCGGTAAACGCTTCTACTTAGGTACTGTGCAACTTGTAGGAAACGCCAGATCCAACACGCGGCGAGCCAGTTGTCATCGATCATCGTTGGCCCGAGCTGCGCCGGAGTACGGTCACATTGCAATGAGTCTGACTGAGTTGGACGCTCATGGGAGCGGCCATGACGCATGATGCATGATGGCTCGTGTGATCACCGGTCTGCATGAACAACAGACCTTGCGTACTAACATATATACATACGTAGGGTGATTGCACGTGCTCATGAGCTTCTGCCCTTGCTCTCAGACATGTCTCTACGCGAGGTGTCTCCGCTGACAATACCCCTTGCCATCGTTCGTCCAGCGTGTTCACTCTTGGACTGTGCCCTTCTGTGATACTGATTAAGCTCTCTTCAGCTCGCGCATCAGATCTTCCGCCGGTACGAGACGTACCGCATCTACGTCCATGTCTGCCTCCTGCTTGCCCCTCCTGCCCTCGTAGCGGCGCACGTCTCCTCCTCTCGGCGGGCATCCGCACTCCTCTATACCTTCGCGAACGCTCTCATCTCCTATCTGGCTGCACTCGTCACATCCGTCATCGTCTACCGGCTCTCTCCCTTCCATCCGCTTGCACGGTACCCCGGTCCTGTATGGCGCAGGGTGTCGATGTTCGGGCCTGCAGCTGTAGCTGCGTCTGGCAACCGTCACAGAGCGTTCGCGGAAATGCACCGGAAGTACGGGGACGTCGTGCGGACCGGTACGTCCTGTTTCAATTTGTACCTGGATGTCTTCTGCAGACGCTAACACTGGTGTAATGTCGTATTGTCAGGACCGAACGAGCTCTCTATCGCCGATGCTTCATTTGTCGTACCTATCATGGGGCCCTCTGGTCTTCCGAAAGGACCGAGTATTTCGTCGAGTATTGAGTTGGAGGTATGGCTGGCGCTGATCGAGTATCAACTTCACAGATCATGTCGGAGCGTCGATGTCCGACACGAAGATGTCCATGGTCGGCCTCCGAGATACAGCATATCATCTGCAGCGTCGCCGTCCATGGAATCGCGGCCTCGGTCAAAGTGCATTGAAAGAGTACGAGCCTCTCGTCGCAGAGAGAGTCCGACAGCTTGTCCAGCGGCTACAAGGTCAATCTGGATCGGTCGACCTGGGAATATGGCTGAAGTACTTTGGGTGAGTGGGTCCCTGCGCTGCGAGTATGCTTATGGGGACTCGACTGACGAGCTGCACTGCACTCCCAGGTATGACTTCATATGCGACGTGGCGTACGTGCGGCTCTTGATCTCTCTTGCTTCAGACGGCTGATCTGTCCGAGTCATTTCGCAGATTTGGTGGAGGATCCGAGTTGCTAAGGGACGGCGACAAGAACAACGTCTGGTCGATCATCGAGGAAGGAATGGTGTAAGTGTATGCGTCTCGTTCTCATATTATTGTGCTGATCAATGTCGTTGTCTTCAGGGTGTGTGCGGTTATGCATAGCCTCCCCTGGCTGGGCATCTACCTCGGGACAATTCCAGGGGCAACTGGGCCGATGGAGGCTTTCCAGGCAAATGGGAGGAAACTTGCTAGGGAACGGCTCGAGAGAGGGTCCAAGACTCGCGACCTCTATCACTACCTAGTGAGTATCGCGAGCATCTCGTCGTGTGATGCAGAGCCGGGACTGACCTCCTCAGTAGTGCAACGAGGATCTCCCAGGTGACTGGGCCCCTCCGCCATTACAAGAGCTCGCCGACGACGGTACCCTCGCAGTCGTCGCGGGGTCGGACACGGCTTCACTCACGTTGACAAGCGTGTTCTACTGTCTCCTAACGCACCCAGATGCGTACCGGAGACTGCAAGAGGAGGTCGACAAGTTCTATCTGGCTGGTGAGCCCGCGCTAGAGACGAAGCATCATCGCGAGATGCACTACCTGCAGGCAGTCATGTGCGTACGCTCGTCTCTCATAGTACAGATCTTCTGTCTGACGACTACCCCGGGTAGCAACGAAGCCCTCCGGCTCTATCCACCGATCCCTCTGGGCTCCCAGCGCCAGGTCCCTCACCATGCTGCCGCCGTCGTGCTGGGGTCCGTGTACGTACTTACGTCGCTCTACCAATGAGATAATCGCTGACGATCGACTTGGAATCGAACCTCAGCGTGCTTCCTGCGGGTACGTCAGTATACCTCCCGCCGTGGGTACTCCAGCGCGACCCCCGGAACTTCACCTTCCCCGACGAGTTCTGGCCCGACCGGTGGCTCATCGCGTCCGGCCACCTTCGCTACGAGGACGCGCGGCTCCCGTCCGGGTCATCCGTGGCGAAGGCCGAGGCCGGGCTTCCGGAGTTCGTCCACAACGAAGTCGCGTTCACGCCCTTCTCCGCGGGTCCGATGAATTGCCCCGGGAAGGGCCTGGCAATGGTGGAGATGCGCACGGTTGTGGTCGCGCTCTTGAGGGGCTTCAGGTTCAAGTTTAAGTTGGAAGATGGGTGGGATTCGGCGGTGTTTGAGGAGGAGTTTAAGGATTACTTTACCGCGGCGAGACCCAGGTTGCCTGTCGTGCTTGAGTCTCGGGGGCAAGCTTGACTTCGTTTGTAAGTCCACTTCTCGGATGTAGTTGTTCTTCGGTGCGCGTTGATATCTGACAATTCGCTAGGTCTCTTCCGTCCTGCACGTTGAAGATGATAGTGCTTCTGTACTCTATTCTTAGGCCGAACATCATAGAATCTCACTTCGAGGGTTGAGGCTTAGGCTCTTCCCCGCACAGCGAGACAACCAGACCACCAGCTTGCAAGACAGCTCCGAGGCTGCGCGATGAATTCCAATTGCGAGTTCATTCGTGTTACTTCGCGGGGGACAGCCTTGATCCACAGATTACTGTTCGCATCTGCGTCTTCCCTGGAATCCGGGGTAATGGTGAACAGGTGATATGGCGCCGAAATGGTACGTGTCTCTTCGTGCGACCTTAAGTTGGGATAACTCATTTATCAATGCTTCTTCCTCCGCTGTAGGGCCACACCCGGAGATTGCGCTGCATTGCTGGAAGAGGAAGCTCTTCGTGCCATTCTTCACCGGCAGCCGTAGTTCCTGGATGCTGTGCGCCCGTCCAGTGTCCGTATCGCAAAACCTTCCTCGTCTAGCTTATCTGTACAGTCTCGAACACAGAATGATGCAGCTTCCAAGGAAGGTAGACATATCTTCGATGTTACACTGGTTTGCAGGCAACTACGCCCTCTACAATGCCGGCTTCCGGCGGACAGCGAGCCTTTGTTCAGGTTCCGACAACATACAGCCTTCTCCCCGCCGACCCTATATCAACCACCCGCAATGTAGCCTCTGCCTCACTCAGTACCGCTCCTCCGTTGAACTTCAACCCACAGAATGTCCGACCCTGATTACATCACGGTGATAGCGTCCGAGTATTACGATATGTAGGTGGCCTTCTCGCGACGTCTGAAGTTCTAGTTATCTGACGTCTTTGCGCTAGCCTTGTGAACAATTACTGCGTGACAGCAGCATCCGGTATTCTCCCACCTCTGCTCATTCGCTCGGATACTGAATCTGCTTGTCCACCCCCTCCCCTCTCCAAAAGTGGTGTTCATATACGAATATATCATCACCTTCGGGACCGAGGTGGAGCTCTTCTGGACCCAGCCCAAGACCGGCGCGACGATGCTGTTCCTCCTCAACCGTGGGATAGTCATGTTCTTTACCTGGTACGACATGATTACCAACTTTCTCACTCAGCCCTCTAGCATCCAGGTATGTCCCTGCGAGTGCGGATGCCTTGACTGTCAAGCTCACTAGAGTTTTGCAGAGGTATGAACGTCACGGTCGACGACTCTAGACAGCACCGTATGTCGACATACTGACCCAACTTACAACTGTCCAGTTGCGCGGACGTGGTCAAAACTACTCTCGTCTTCGAAGTGCTCCAGTACATTCCATGGGCAGGTGAGTAGAACCTCAAGTTGCATCGGTTCCAGTGGTTGACAGCCGTCCTCCGGCAGCCTTCTCATCCTTACGAGCGTTCGCGATCGCCAGGAGCTGGCCGCTATCTATCCTTGTCTTTGCGCTGAGCATTGTTCCAGTCGCAATCAACCTTGTGAGCGGGCTCAAGAGTCAAGACAGAGTCCATGCGTATCCTCCAGGTGGCTAACAGCTTCATACAGGCTGATTTCGCATTCGATTTCGGAGGGGTCCTCATTCCGCCCTTCGGCTGTGTGAGCACGGATACTGTTAGTGTTGAACTTGCCCTACGGTACGTGCCTCCAATTCCTGCTCCATTCGCGCTCTGTGCAGCTAATCGTCTGTCCAGATGTACGTTCTCTTCATGCTCGAACAGCACATTTCTCCCACTCCCAGACTGACAAGATGGACCAGTCACCATAGCATCCCGAGCCTGCCTCATTGCAGCGGACGCGCTCCTCATCCTCCTAACCTGGCGCAAACTGTACAGAGGAGACGCAAACACGCGCGAAAAAGGAGGATTTGTGCACGTCCTCCTCCGAGACGGTGAGCGTCTTCTCCAGACCCTCTAGCATCTATTCGCCTGACTTGAATTCGCCCATTCAGGTACCATCTACTTCCTGTAAGCGTCCTCTCAAGTCCCCTCGCCGCGCAAAGCTCGCTAACTCTGTGCTCGGTCGCGAC